ACTCAAAACAGCAACTAGTTTTCCAATCTTCTGTGAGGGAAAATATATATATAGTTCAGAAAAATTTAGAAAAACAAATTCCAGATTCAATTTTCTTAATATGTCATCAAGATATTCTATATATCAGATATAAAATAATGAAACAGTAGTTGCTAATCACTCAGTTTTTATGTTTATAAACAGACAGAAACCTAGTGACTGCAGTTAGAGAAGCTGGCATTTTCATCAGTCCAGGAAAGGACCAAGTGGACCATGACATTTACTAACAGGTATCAGAGTAGAAGCATAAGCAGTCCCTATTCTCAAACACTTACTCTGTAATTAAGAAGCATGGTATACACAGACAACAGTTTTTAAATATATAAGTTAGTATATCTTTGCATAATATCAAATAAGTCCTACAAAAATCAGAGGAAGAGCAAAATACAGTTAACTGCTGTTTTATCCTTAACATGCTGTAAAGGGTTAAGGATTTTTATATTTCAACTGGAGAATGAGGGGCATTTTTTTCTTCTTTGAACTTGGAGGTTTTTTTTTTTTTTCGATGTCATGAGGAGTTGCTCAGCCTTTTTGCACTCCCAAATATTGATATTTCTCAAGGATGACAATCATAATTACCATTTGTTGTGTTTATTATACTCTTGTCATTGTGCTAACCACTTGATCTCCATAACCCGAAAAATCTTCTGAACAATCCATATATAGGTACTGTTATTCTTCATTTACAGATCAGTAAGTAGAAGAGAATTTATGCTCTAATTGCCAGGTCTGTGCCTCCTTGTAACTGACCTTGCAATCAGTCTGTGCACAGAGCAATTTCTCAACACCTGGAGGATTCTAGCTGAGGCCTATCCCTGCTGCACCTTCCTTTGCTACTGTTTTAATTTCGGGATAAATTTAGCCCACTGCTTGGCTTCGTTTTCCTATGTCTGACATGCGATCTTGTGATCCTGTTGTATTCATCATCATAGCTAAGTGATTTTCAAAGTTTCCAAAGAGTTGAACAACACCTTTGTCCCTTCATGGTCTGGAATTTTGTGTTCTCCTTTGGAGAATGAAGACACCATTCCTCAAAGGTGAAAAAAGTTTAAACTCTAATACTCTCAGCGGTTGCTTATGGCAGACCAGAGCATTTAGCCAGAATTATTACTCAGTTTTAGAATCTGGATAAATGAAACTCTTTTGCTCCTCAGCTTATATTGATATTAGCTTTAAAAAAAAATAAAATAAAAAAGGCCCTAGTGTTGATTACAAATTGGGATGAAGGACAAATAAAGGCAGTATTTTCTTAAATGGGATTAGGAAAGGGGATTTTACCATTCTCTCTCTTGCTTTCTCTAAAGTAAGAAGAACAGGAAGAACAAGCTATGGAAAGAACTGAACAGAGCTGACTCAGACTTTAAGTTAACACTTGCTCACCCTGGGATGGGCCACAATACAAGGAGTATCTGTAGTGTCCAATAAAGACATTGGCCTGCATATTGGAAACTAGAAGGAGCAGCCGCGCAAATCCTTTCTGAATGAATGATAGCTAACTAAATCAGGACGGATCAGGTTCTATGGGTTTCCCTGGTAACTTGGGAAGAGCATGGCCTCTCCTAAGAGTTAAGGAAAGGAAAAACAATAATGATGTTACTATACATTCTGCTGCTGTTGCTGCCAGACTGGGTGCTTTGCATATTTTGCCTGTATTAGCCTCACAACACCATGTGGCAGATACCATTTATATCTCCTTTCTACAGATAAGGAAACCGAGACATAGAGAGATTAAGTAATTTAGTTTCCCGACCTTGGTTTTGGTCTATGGAATGCTTCAGCCCATGTTTTTTCCACTATTTCATAAAAATAAAGGGGAAAAAAGAAGGAATTCAAGTAGGCCACTCGTAGTATCAGCCCCCTACCCTGGACTGTTAGCTTACTCCTACACTTATCATACCCTGTCTTGTGTTTTAAATCATCTTATACCAGTCTTATTTTCATAATTGTATTTCAAGCTCTTCGAACGTAGGAATTTTATCATGTACAGCATCATACCCTCAACATTATAAAGTCAGTAAGTATTTACTGAATAAGAGAACGAATGAATGGATGAATAAACAAATGAAGTTTGCTCTCTTAGGCACCGGGACACTTTATCTCTTACCACATCAAATCTAAATTCCTTGGCGTGATATTCAATAACAATAAAAATACTGGCCAGCAATAACTGAATAGTTACAATGCAGCAAACCTCTGTGCAACCCTTGGAAAGCACCAGTGCCTTTAATTCCCACAATGACAACGGACAAATAATGAGGAAGAGAGTCAGGAGTCAAACCCATGTAATCTCATCCCTAAATCTGGACGCTAAATCCTATATCAAATGGTGTCTCCCAGGCACTGCTTGTCTTCTGAATCTGAATTCCTAGTTCTTCTCAGCATACATCTTCCAGTTAGACTGGTTTCCTTATTGTCCTTTTCTTTCTTCCTATAAGCTTTTCCTAATTATGTTCCATACTGGTATGAAGGGCTGATACACCTAGGCCAGAGGCTGCACTGTTACCCTTGGCAACTTCACCAAAGCCACCTTTTATGCTATCTCCAAGATCTATAGCTATCTCACCCAGACACCTCTAAAGAGACCATGTTCACCAGGTTGTGCTGTCAGGAATTTACTGACCTTCTCATAAAGATCCACAGGCGTCTCCATGCAGAGGGCCCAAGCTCCAGCTATGGCCACCACATAGTGTTTTTATACAAGGAAAATAAAGTGAACTCATTAAGCCCGTATTTTAAAAAAATAATCACCTGTGAGATGTGTTTACTATACAGAATCCTGGACCTTAGCATCCCGCATTCTTTTTTTTTTTTTTCAGGCGAGGCAACCCTTGGTTGATCTGACAGATTGCAAGGACTTTGTCAGCTTACAATCCCTTATTTTTTATTTTTGCGCATACATCACCTGGTCTTCCTAGGTGGTCTCCCATCCAAGTACTAACCAGGCCCAACCCTGCTTAGCTGCTGAAATTGTGCTGGCTGGAAAATTACTGCTTGGCTATCACCCATGGGAACATAGGCTATCACTCATGGGAACATAACATTCTAACGATAAGCTTTCTGCTTCTGTACTCCTGCTTGTGCAATCGACCTGTGGGTTGTTGACAGGTAGTGAATAGGAGAAAAATAGACCTTTGTGTTTAAGGCAGAATGAGGAATGGGATTTAGGGCTTAAAAACCCTGTACCTTTTTATCTCTTTAGCCCAGGCATTCGACCAGCCACAACCAAAATCAGAAGGAGCATTAATAACTTTGCTAACGACAATACACAAGGTCTTAAATAAGACCACTCCAGACATAGGACAAGATTGCTGGTTGTGCCTAAACCCCAAATCCCCCTTACTATGTTGGGGTAGGAACTCCCTTAAACTTTACTGAGCTCAGCAGGCTAGAACTTCAAGTCAATTCACTAGCAGAAGTAGTCCTCCAAAATAGAGGCTATGAGCAAATTCCATATGAAGAATCAAGGATTTGATTTTCTGCTAAGGCCAGTGGGGAATGTGCTGGCTAGAAAATTACTGCTTGGCTATCGCCCATGGGAACATAGGCTATCGCCCATGGGAACATAGGCTATCACCCATGGGAACATAACATTCTA